TCCTGGAGCTCACTTGGTAGCCCAGGCTGGCCTCGAACTCACAGAGATCCGCCTGGCTCTGCCTCCCGAGTGCTGGGATTAAAGGCATGTGCCACCACCGCCCGGCTCTTTTTTCTTTCTTAATGGGATTTTCTACCAATTCTGAAAGGCTGTGAAAATCATTCAGAAGTGACTTGACCCAGACATTCCCAGATGTGTGACCAGGTGGCCTCTCCTGGACGCTTTCCTACCATTTCCGTTGACCGATTTCCTCCCGCCCCGAGGCGTCTTCTGGCTCCGAATACAGTTTCTCTTAGAAGGGTTGTGGTTACAGTTGCCCTTCTAGCTCCTCTCTGCCTGCTGGAACTGGGGTCTTCCGGGACATTCCCAGCTTTGAGAAGGGGACAAGGACGCTGCGGTTTGGTGTCATTTGGTAAGCATCACCCTTGAGTTGTAATGGTCAAATGTAATTTTCCACTGACATCCCATCTCTGCTGCTCCCAGTTGGCTCCACATCTAGGTTTTAGTGTGGCCTCTGTGGTTTTTAATGTGGCCTCTGTGGTTTTTAGTGTGGCCTCTGTGGTTTTTAGTGTGGCCTCTGTGGTTTTTAGTGTGGCCTCTGTGGTTTTTAGTGTGGCCTTTGTGGTTTTTAGTGTGGCATCATTGCTCTGATGGAACACCAGATAGGAACTACTTCAAAGAGGAAGTATTCTCTGGTCCATAACCCAGAGATTACAGTCTGTCCTAGTTAACTTTGTCAGATTGACAGAGCCAAGAGCCATCTGAGAGGAGAGGCTTGATTGAGGAATCAACTGGCCTGTCAGGGGCATGTCTGTGAGGAATTGCACACTGGCCTGTCAGGGGCATGTCTCTGGGGGACTGTCTACATTGTTAATTGGTGCAGGGGCCCAGCCCACTGTGAGCAGCACCATCTCTAGGTAGGTGGTCCTGGGTTGTATAAGAAAGCTAGCCCAACATGAGCCCTGGAGCAAGCCAGCAAACAATGTTCCCCCATGGCTTCTGCAATAAGTTCCTACTCTGAGTTCTTGCCCTGACTTCCTCAATGAGGGACTGTGAGTGTGGAAGTGTAGGCTGAAATAAACCCGCTCTTCCCCTAAATTGCTTTTGCTCTGAGTGTTTTGTCACAACAGAAAGGAAACTAGAACCCAGTCCCTGGCAGGGAAGGGATGGTGGTGGGGGCGGCTCATGGCTGTGGTTACAGTGTGTTATCTATAAGTCAAGAACCCTAGAGTTTGGGCTGGAACCAGAGTCACACTACAACCCAAAAGGCCCATAGCACTGACTTCTTCCAGTGTGGTGATATTTTATCTGTGTACCCCAATAAAGTTTATCTGAGGACCAGAGGAAAAAGCCAGCCACTATAGCAAACATCGAAGTCAGGCAATGGTAGCATATTCCTTTAATCCCATCACTCAGAAGGCAGAGATCCATCTGTCTGGATCTCTGTGAGTTCAAGGCCACACCAAGAACAGAGCCAGGTAGTGGTACATACCTTTAATCCCAGCACTAACCATAAAGGTCTGGAGGTCTGTACAGCCAGGAAGTGACAGAGCTGGGCAGGAAGAGGAAGTAATGTAGCTGGGCAGAGAGGAAGTGAGATGCAGAACAGAGAGGCATCTAGGCATGGGTATACAGAGATCCAGAAGTAGGTCTCTTTGGCTGGAGGATCTCCAAGTGGCAAGAACATGGCTGGCTTCTTTCTGCTCTTCTGATCTCTCAGCTTTTTACCCCAATATCTGACTCTGGGTTTTAATTAATAAGACCGTTTAGCAATTCATCTTACATTCCAGATAGACCCCTTCTCCTAAAGGTTTCACAAACTCCCACAAGCTGGAGGTCAAGAGTTCAAATACTTGAGTGACCCACATAGCAGCTCACAACCGTCTGTCACTCCAGCTCCAGGGGATCAAACACCCTCACGCAGATATCTCCTCATGCAGAAAAAACACCCATTCACATAAAACATAAACAAATCATTAAGAATGACTTTATTTTTATGTGGACGGGTGTTTTGCCTGCATGTATGTCTGTGCACCACCCGTGCACCTGGTGCCCACAGAGGCCAGAAGAGGGAGTCACAGCCCCTGGCAGAGGAGTTACAGATGGCTGTGAGCTGCTGTGTGTGTTCTGAGACTCAAAGCTGGGTCCTCTAAAAGAAGAGCAGCTGGTGCTCTCCAACACTGAGCTACCTCATCGGCCCCTCTTCAGTTTTTTAAACATGTATTTTGGGTGAGCGCCACAGCATAATGTGGAGGTGAGAGGACAACTTGTCAGAGTCAGTTCCCTCCTTCTACCCTGTGAATTCTGGGGATCAAATTCATGTTGTCAGCCTTGGCCACAGGACCTTGACTTACCAAGCATTTCTCCTGGCCCTCCCAGATCTCTTTCTTATAAGAGGGAACTTTCCAAGATCTGCACACTGGCCTTTTGACATTGCCTCTCTAGACGTACTCTGTGCTCAGTGCCCCAGGAGGACACGCTGTCCAGTAGTATCAAGGGACTGTTCGTTGCCAGGTTCGCATCAGTAAGAGCCTGCATGGCAGACGCAAAGTGGAGCCCTTTCCACACTGGCTCCACCCCTGCTGGGCTGCTGGGCCTCGATGCTGTTCCTCTCACAGAGCTCCTGCCAGGCACCACATTCCAGGGAGCCCCTTTCTGGGTTTGGCCAGGGTGGTGGCAATGGCGTCAGCTAGAGCTAGTTTGACCGTTGATTCTCTATATTGATCTATTTGTTGATCATCTGTTTGCCTCATTTGACATGTCACCTGCTTTCTACAGTCCCCTGAATGACACCTTTCCCTGCAGATCCTTCCTAACGGAACAACAGTGGTCAAGGACTGTAGAGAAAATGGCAGTGATGAAGGATTCATAAATGAATGCAACATAGCCAATATTGCCAGAGAGGAGATGAGAAAAAAATGCAAAAGTTAAAATATGAAAAGATACTAGCCAGGCAATGGTGGCACACACCTTTAATCCCAGCACTCAGGAGACAGAGGCAGATGGGTCTCTAGGAGTTCGAGGCCAGCCTGGTCTACAGAGTGAGTTCCAGGACAGCCAAGGCTACACCCCCAAACTCACAAGACAGCACAGACCTGCGCTGGGAAGGTCTGTGGGTGGGGCCTTGCTACACAGAAACAGCAGGAGGACCCCTAGGGTGACAGAGCTGTCCTTTGAGTTATCATACTGCTTTTGTGATTTTATGTATTTGAAAAGCAATACTGAGCCGGGCGGTGGTGG